CCCCCAGGTGGTGTCACTGACTGAAATGTCTTTAAGCCATTCCCAAAGGGGGGACATTAACTTGTTCTGATGCACAGTAGAATTGTAACTGGGCAGATTCAACAATATCATGCTCACATCTGTGCCTGAACTACGACAGGGAACTGCTGCTTTTTCTTTCCTAACCCTTACTATCGTCATTTTTCCTCTACTTCTTTTGTATGTTTGTCACATTCGTGTGACCCGCTATTTCCGGGGTGCCTTGATAGTCGAAGCAGACTTTGTGCTGTTGAAGCTAGAGAGGTGATCAGAGTAAGCCCGATTCTCTGTAAGGACTTCTTTGCTGACATCCACCCTTTGGCGCTCATATGACCGTACGCAGTTGCAAGCGCCGTAAAACCTCTACTAAAACAAACAAAAAAGTATATTACGTGTTTCGTGTCCTTAATGGGTTTTTTTTCTCTATGGCATTACAAGACAAATGTCAGTATAAAAATATGAATCAAGTGTTAAAACATTGTTTGTATGATATGGCTTTGTGTGTGTTTGTGTGTGTGTGTGTGTGTGTGTGTGTGTGTGTGTGTGTGTGTGTGTGGGTGTGTGTCCAACATCACGTAGTTTCCTGACAAGTTCCTTGACACGCAGAGACGCTGTTCCCGCGGGATCTCAGATGGCAAACTTGGAATGAACGCGGTGGAATCAGGCACTCGACAATATTTGGCCACATGGACTTATTGGTGTGGTTCTAGATCTAAAGCGTGTTCATTTGTCTTGATTTGATGAAAAAAAATGCGTATCTATCTTAAATAGAAGTCGAAATATTTGCCAGTGAAGCAGTTGGAGGTCGCTTGGTGTCCATGTGAGATGTAAAATTAGCAAGCAAATGACAGTCAAAGTTTGGGGAGTATACCAAAGCTCGAGTGAACTTGGAAATTGCAAAATTACATTGTCTGTGCCTTTGGTCGACGTTTATTTTTGTTTGTTTGTTTGTTTGTTTGTTTTTCTAAAAATAAAAATTCACACATAATTGTAGTTTTAAAGGAAAAAGCAAGATGTGTTGAGTAAAAAAAATAATCGATAAAAACTGCCCAATGGGAGGAAAAATGTTGGTTTCTTCGATTTCATTATTTTGACGAGCGCAGGATTTCCCTACAATGCCACACAAATTGGAGTGAGCAGCAGGGGTTGCCGCGAGTTGTTGCTGAGTCCTGTGGGACGTCACTGGGCTGGACAGATACGTGGTTAGTAACTTACATTTATTCTTTTGTTTTGTGCAAATTTGAACCCGGGCACTTTCAACACAAAAATATAAACTGGCACTTGTGCGCAACTGATCGCTTTTAATCACAAGGGGGCTATCCCGAAAAATGCTGTTTTGAAAAAATCGAAGGTAAAGTTTTGGCCCCTTATTCAGTTTCTTTAAAAGACAAGAAGAGTTTTCTCAATAACCAAACAAATAAACACACCAGTGAAACCAAACTTTTCCTATAGGTAGGGCAATGCCCAAATTTGGTGTTGGTCAAGATTTCTGGAAACCCCCGAAATCTGGGTTAGCCCGCTTGTCCAACTATAAACTGCCGCAAGTACACATCTATAAACTAACATAATATGTACACTGTTAAAAACTGTCACAAGTACACAGCTATAAACTAACTCGTGTATACAGTTAAAAACTGCCACAGGTACACAGCTATAAACTAGCGCCGTCACATTGATATAAACTAGCGTCATTACATTACAATAAATTACATTTAAGTACTTTTTATGCAGTTGCAAGTGCCATAAAACCCTGTACTATATAAAAAAAACAATAAACTGATACCGGTGCCACTTATAGTTATAACTATGACTGTGTCGTAGACTGTGGTAAACGCGATTAAAACAAATATATGGTCGCTTTTAAGGACAAGCAGGCTAACCCAGATTTCGAGGGTTTCTAGAAATCTTGACCAACACCAAATGTGGGCATTGCCCTACCTGAAGGAAAGTTTGGTTTCATTGATGTGTATATCTGTTTGGTTATAGAGAAAACTCTCCTTGACTTTTAAAGAAATTGAACAAGGGGCAAAAACTTTACTTCCGATTTTCTCAAAACAGCATTTTTCAGGATAGTCCACTTGTGATTAAAAGTGACCAAATATCTCCGGTGTACAACACTAACAACCAATATGTAGATCTCCGCTCTTAGTAACTTAGCAATAATATATCTTCCAAAAAGTTGCTTTAAATAAGATAAGATAAGATAAGATAAGATAAGATAAGATAAGATAAGATACGATAAGATAAGATAAGATAAGATAAGATAAGATAATACTTTATTATCCCAATTTTTCTTGGCTGTATAGGACCGTGAAAACATATTATGCAGGTATACATTTTAAAAATCTCAGTGATATATAACTATCTTTAAAATAAATTCAACATGAAAAGAGAAGTAAAGCTGACAGAATCCACATATCACATCAAACGCATCATTCAACTACATGCAGAACTGTGATTACAAACCATACAAGTTATGTGAGAACAAAAGACTTTAAAATCTAGGCGCTTTAACTGTTCTGAGGTTTACACTGCTTTGAGGTAATATTATACACATGTGCAAGAATCAGAATAATCTAATGGGACACGACCACATGTGAGAGGGGTTTCTTTAGTTTTAGTAAGAGTTTTACGGCACTTGCAACACAATAAGGTCATAATATAAGTGCCGAAGATTAGAGGTGTAATAAGAGAGTAACAAACACAAAAAAGAAGAAGTCGAGATAAAGACGATAGACGTTGGATAGGAAAGAAGAAGCAAACACACCACAGCACCTGCCACCCATCCGCTTACACTGTTTTGAGATAATATTATACAAATGTGCAAGAATATGAAAATCTAGCAGGACAAGGCCACATGCCCTCAAACCGACTAACACAAACCTTATGTGCAGATAATGAACAAATAGTCATATAATAATGAACAGATGTAGAAAGCTGGCTGACTCACATTAAGCTCGGGGATATCTAAATCTTCAAATCGCTCATCCTGGGTGGAGAAAGAGAGAACGATAAAAGGAGACAGAGAAAGAGAGAACGATAGAAGGAGGCAGAGAAAGAGAGAACGATAGAAGGAGGCAGAGAAAGAGAACGATAGAAGGAGGCAGAGAAAGAGAGAACGATAGAAAGAGGTAGAGAAAGAGAGAGGAGTTAATGAGTATGAGTGAGTGACGAATTGAGTGGGACGGACAGATTAGTAGACAGACAGCTAGACAAACAGACAGACAGACAGACATAGACACACAGAGAGACAGACAGATAGACAGAGAGAGAGAGAGAGAAAGAGAGAGAGAGAGATAGAATAGAAACAGACACACACACACATACACACACACATGCACACATACACACACACATGCACTCACACACACAGACACACCCACACACATGCACATACACA